TACCGTAGAAGTGGAGATGATGAGGGGATACAATCTCCTTCCAAATGCCGTCTACCCTGTGATGATTGCCCCCTTCTTCGATCAAATGCGGACGATGACAGAGATCAGACAGACTAAAATCCTTCGCGTATATTGGCACATGTTGGAGGCGATTGCTGGTATACCGGTGATGGATCATTTCGAGGTCAATCTCTTCCCGCTCAAGATCCAGCTTGAGCGCGAGATTGGGGATAAGATCTTTGAATATATCTTCCCGGGGGTTGGTACTGGTGCTTTTGGAGATGGTGGGTTTTCACCGTTCCTGGTCCACTCAATGAAACCTATTCCCGATGGATCAGGATCAGACGACAGCGATAACGAGATGGAGAACGATTCCCACACGATGGATGATAGCTCGTCGACAAAGAGTGATGGTACCTCACCAGTTGACTTGAGATTGAAGCCAACTATGTCACTTGATAATAAACCAGAGCTAGTTAGACCAGCTTCCGCGGGATCGCTAAAACCTAGGTCAAATAGCTTCAAAACGTCAAGTGGTGGTAGTATCTTTCGCGGATTCAAACCATCACGAACTCTCGCTCATAAGACTTCTAACGAAGCCATTTCTGTCAAGTCTAGAAAGTCTTTGGAAGGTCCTATACCTACTATGCCTCCACTCGACAAGAACAGCAAGAAATTGCAAATTTTCCACAGGTCTACAAATGACCGGGGCGAAAAACGATCTGATGAACTTTCCCAGATGATGTCAAGAGCGTCAAATTTCATGACATTGGCTTACATCAAGATTCCTAGTGTCGTTTTATGCCTGAGTTATAAGGTGTGTTGCTTATCGTTTCTTGGAACAGATCGGAAATTAACAAATTTATAGGGTCGAGACCAAAGTAACATTGAAGATGTACATGAATTTGTATTCCGGATGCCCATGCTTGAATATCGGAATAAAACCTGGTCCAACCTTGACCTGGCCATGCGGTTGAAGAAGGATATTATCCGGGCGCTCATTTCTCATACTGGAGCTATACTTCAAAATAAGCTCACTCATCATAGGCCAAGCAAACCCGCACCAAATTTACACAGGATGATGGCGAACAACGGCTCACTGGGAACATCGGCCACTTTTTACAATCCGGAGGGTGACGACTCACGTGACTTTATAATGTCTCACCGTGACACCTCGACTGCTAGACCAAGCACATCCTATAGCTTCCTTAAACCGCCATCTATCATGAGACCAGGAACCGCGATGTCTTCAATGTCGTCTATGTCAATTAAAACCATGAGTACCATGGGTTCCACTGGTAGTGCTAATACGGCTGAATTCTACACACCACCCACAGGTGCTACGCCCCTGGACATGCAGGATGGGCCGGATGATGATAAAGTGAGTTCTTTTATTCAGCCTCTTCAGCGTGGCTACAGATATTGACGTGAAATTATAGAAAAATATCTTTAATAATTCGCTGGGTCGCCACCTTTCGAACCTAGCAGCATTGTCTAGACAGAAAGATGGGATTGCTGGTGATTCCGAGGAAAGTATCAAGAAAAAGGGTATGATGCTTCTTGGGAGGTTTGGCGGTAGTGGGCCGTCGTAGGGTATTTAGCAGCCTCATTTCGCTTTATTTATTTTTATTTGTCCTATAACGGCGTTTTGTTTTATGGCATGGGTATTATTTATTATAGATACAGTCATTAGAAGGGGTGTGTTTTTATCAGCATTTTCTCTATCTATTGTAATGGACGATTCTTTTTTTTTCTTTCTTCCCGATCTACATAAAGCAGCTTGGCCGCGCGGGGGGGGGGGGGGGGGAGGGTTTTATTCTATTATCATTCTTAAAAAAACTCTTGTAATAAGTTTAAAAATATGTACAATCCAGTGAGATAAATCATCGAGTTGGCGCCAAAAGCAACAAAATTTGCCTACAATGCAACCACGCGCCAAATTTCTTATAAGCTAAGGGCCTGTTTGGGAGCCGAGACTGTAGAAAACGCCGTTTTGCTTAGGTTTCCGTTAGTGGGGAGAAAACGGAGAAATTTTTAAAACGGAGTTTTAACCGTGAGGTGCACTGTTTGGGAGATTGTGGTGTTGACGGTACAATGAGGCAAAATTGGGGTGATGGCAAGTTGTGATAAGAAAAAGTAGGTCCGAGCTACTTTTTAAAAACTGCGTTTTCATAGGGTTAATGTTGTTTTCTGGACCCGCAAAATGGGTCGCCAAACACAACCAGTTTTCTCAGAACGGAGTTTTCACCAGAACGGAGTTTCAAGCCCCAATAACTCCGTTTCGGACCACTCCCGAACGGGCCCTAAATGTCTAAGCAGCCCATACTATGAATTTCATTCTTGTGTGGCAATTATCAAGGAGCTACATGGCTCAGATTGAGAGTGAATTGTATGTAAAACCTACACAAATTCGAGGTCTTGGCAGGACAAAATTGCTCGCTCTAAGGCTCCAAAGTTGTTGTATTATACAAGATATATAAAAATTATGGCGTTAGGAAAAAAGGGGGGGTGGGGGTTGAAATTGCCATTTTGGATCAATTACATACGGTCCGATGAGACAAATTTCAAGGTATCTATCAAGTTTTATGTATAGAATGAGGTGAGGGTAGACCGTAGGTATCAACACCCTCTAGCTTGCCTTGCCCCGTCCCGAGATAGCCTTGGAAAAACCGAGTGAGTAGCGGTGGACCAAGATCATAGCTAAATAGAAGCCTTTGAAACAAAAACTTCAACTGGCGCTTGCTGATCCCCCGCCCAAGGAGCCCACTGATGACCACGGACTAGTGATGTACACAACACAAAACGAGACGAGACTTCCATTGATCTTGTCTTGCCTTTCATCTGGGAAGAGAGGGTCTTGTGGTTAACGAGATCTAGGGTAGGTATCGCGCGGGGTATATATCGAGACCGCAGGTCGAGCACAAAAGGCCTTGTATGAAAATCAGAATTAGGGTTAGGGTTTAGATAGCCCTTGGGTTTATACACGTACTAATCTATGTACTAGACCTTAGCTCCGCCCTGAAAACGTCCTATTTTGTTTTAACATTTATCATGTTTTGAGACCTCTCGACATTAATTGTCTTGCCCACCTACAGGTCTCGTTTTATCTTGTATCATCTAAAAAAACAAAGTCTCGAGACTTTTTGTCGTGTGCACCACTACCACGGATGTACTACATGTAGTATACTCACATATACATATTTACTGCTGGCCAGAGCTGCGTATCGTCTCGTCCTATGATGAACACTACCAGCTGTCCCCCCAAAGCATGAATGTAGTCAGATTTATCATTGACTGCTCTAACCCTAACCTCAACAAGATGTGGAATTTAGTTTCTTGGCACCACTGCAAACTCTCCGAACGCTTAATGTTCCATACGTTACCCAGATGTGGGATGTGTGAATAGATTGGATTATTATTAGAGACCCGTGTACCGTGCAGCAAAATCAACCGTCCAACTCTGCCGAGAATTGGGTTGACTCGCCGAGGGCTGCATAATCCTGTATCTAATTGTCTACAACCTTTGCCAAGGGGTTTCACTCAACGCCTTAGGGCACTCGATGCCCCCATAAATGATATTTTTGGTTGAAATATTCATCTAGGAGTTTATTTTGAAGAACAAATAGCTCTCTGATACCGATCTATACTTTCTCTTTACAAATTACACAACAAAAGTGTTGAGATTTATGAAATTGCCAAGAATTGCAATTCTTAGTAGTAACTCATGCAACTAAATGTATTATTGTGGTCACCTGCAGCCATTGACAAACCTATTTGGCAAATCTTGAGTCAACCCTTGGCACAAATTGGTCCCGTCGTCTATCGTTGAACGGCAGCCCGGAGCAACTGTTGGCGCCCCTGCACGGTGTACGTCCCTAGTGGCGGGATTTTATTTCGTTTTAGGGGTGGAGTGAAGCGGGAAGCGGGTTAAGGGGTGCGTGTCTGAGGGATTGTTGTGCTGCGGCGCGGGTTTGTCTCTTATTTCGCATTTGGGGAACGGTGCGACGTTAATTGCGGAGCCTGTAGTGTTATCGCTGCGGTTGTGGGGGCAGAGTACATGAAGTCTCGTTCACGGCGTCAGCTGTAGGTCGCTCTTTGAATCTCTTGCTTTTGGTAGGGGAGATGGCGACTTTGATTACTGTATGGGATGGGCGAGCGGTTGTTTCTGGACGCTTTGAATCTGACAAGAGAAGGCAGATAGATGGTGGGAATCTGACGTCTTGGAGTGCATGGGAAACTGGATCTCGATTATTCCATTAATATAAGCCAAGATATACTTATATATTACAGAGCTGTTTTCGTATCGAAACCCGTCAATCAAATTATAAGCCCTTGACACCGACTAAACCAATAATTACGTACTTATGTCACAAACCACTTTAAATAATATACAATATTATCAAAACGCATAATGATATTCGTATCTGATATCTACTGCATATATAACCAGCTAATATGTTTCCTTCCAATGCAGAAGTTACTGTGTACATACTTACCCACTCGCACCCTCCCCATGCGGAAAGCATGAAGAATAACCCCCTGTAGATATAGAGTGCCTACATTTCTACCATATCTATACTTAGATAACGACTGCCTTATGTGGGCAATTGGTCCCAGCGTGCGAGGGTCATGGTGATCCCCCAGCGGCTATCGTCTCAACCACCCCCCCATGTAGAAACATAGGCGAGGTAGACCTGGCATAAGTACCGAGGAATGGGTTTTCGATAGGTGGGATGTAAGGCCCCGTATTACTTCTGCTGCGATTGGGGCTTCGTAGTTTTATGGAGGGTTTGCTTTTTTGGCTTTGCTGTTCCCGTTAATATCCTGGTTCTGTCCCTGTTAATATTCTTATTCTGTTCTTGTTAGTATTCCTGTCAGTACTCTTGTCAGTTCTGTTTTCAGTATTCTGGTACTTCATTTTCATAAAAAACGTCCAGAAACCCCGGAGAAGCGGGCAACCTTCAATATCACTACCATTTCCTCTCCACTCCTAACATCAAATGCCTAAAAACTTCTTCCGGAGCGCTCTATGCCTCCTCATAACCATCCTCCATATACACGCCGCCGCCGCCCAAACTCCGCCGGATGCCAACGGCGCCTCATACTGTAGTCTCAGCGTCCTCAGCAGTAAGTCACCCAAAGCCCCTCCGACTCGGAAACTAACAAATATCCATTAGTGACTACGACCCCCACCACGCTCTACATCCTCGGCGGTTCACAATCATGGGCCTCAGACATGGTAGCATGGAACGGGCCAAGTATATACACTGAACTCCCTCATTAAACCCGCCTGTAAGCCCTAACAAGGGAAACTGTAGATAACGTCCTCCGCACCGTCGATATTAGCTCGTCATTTCGGATCACCGACGGGAATGTCAGTAGCTATGCGAAGACAACCACCCTGCCGCTCAATGTCCCGCGCCTGTCGCGCCCGCTGTGGTGGCCGACGGAGACCGAGGAGATCATGATGGCGCTCGGCAAGCCTGAGCCTGGGAACCGCACATTGTGGGGTGATACAGGGGTGGCGAGCGTGGAGAAAAGGTGGTGGTATAGTGTGGATGGTGGGGCGTGGCGAGAGGATACTGCGGACATGGCGTTCGGGTTCTCGGTGGGGGCGCCGGTGTCGAGTGAGGCGAATACGTGGGTTCCAGAAAGGCAGAAGGGATATCAGTTGGGTGGGAGGACGTATTCGGTGGATGATCAGGGAGCGGTGGCCGAAGGTGTGGAGACTGGGGCGTTGTGGGTGTTTGATAAGGCCGGAGATGCGTGGAGCAAGGAGGATACGCCGTTTGGGGTGGTGGGGTCTGCGGGGACGGGGTTGTCTTGGGTGGGCGTTGGGGACGATCAGTTGATCGTGAGGTTTGGAGGTGTGGTGAATAGGACTTGGGTAAGTGCTCTGCTCCTACTTTATGATGGCTGGGCGATTAATGTTGCGGAATAGGCGTCCATGCTCGAGATTGATATATATAGCACCAAGCTATCAAAATGGTACAAGCAATCCCTCCCCGCAGACGCCGCACACCCACCCCCGCGCACCGAGTTCTGCACCGTCGCCGTTAGCGCCGCCGACAACTCCAGTCACCAGATCCTGATGCTCGGTGGTGTCGAGGCCAACGCTACGGGCGACGGCACCGGCGACACCGTCACCACAATCTGGGCACTCACACTCCCGTCGTTTGACTGGGTTCTCCTGCCATCCGCTGTTCTCGACGAGGCCGCGGACCCGGGCGGTAGAATCTCCCCGAAATGTGAGGTGATTGGTGAGAGATATGTGTTTCAGTTTGGCGGCAGAAAGGCCATCAGTTACGACTTTCCGACGTGTGATGTGAATGCGAGTGCGGCCTTTTTGTGGGATATAAATACGGGCACATGGACTGATACGTTCTTGGTCGATAATGGCGCGTATGAGGTGAGTAGTGAGGTGCGTGCGGTCATTGGTGGGAGGTATTTTTCCCTGCAATCTGACACCTTATGAAAGTCCTACTTACACCGCTCGGTAGCGCCAATGGCAATGCGACAAAACTGGAACCTGATAACGGGTTCAGCGACAAAGAACTGGGCTCGATATTCGCAGTTACGGCCGGCTCCAGCACGCCAACAGCTTCACCCGAGCCCACCGCAGCCTCCACTAGCACCAACCGCGGCGCCATCATCGGCGGGGCTGTCGGGGGAACCCTGGCCTTTCTGGCCTTATCTGGCATTGGGATACTACTCTTCCGGCGCCGCCAGCAGCGCCAACAGCCTGAAAGTACTCTCGAGCCCAAGGACTTTATTGGCCTCAACAGCCCAACATCGCCAGACGAATATTATCACCCGCGCGAGCTGGAAGTCGACGCAAATTCACGGTGGGAGATGGTTTGTAACGCGGAAGCGTCGCCGGTAGAGATGCCGGCGCGGAGGTCGGTGATGGAGCTGCCAGCACGGGGGTCAGTGCTAGAGATGCCGGCGGGTTATGGTCAGGAGAAGCAGGTGCCGCCGGAGGTTCGGAGGAAGAAGGTTCCGGGGCGGTAGGTGATGTTCGGGCTTGTTGGATTGTTTATTACCTTGGGATTGTATATATAGAGTGATGGTATGCCTGGTGCTACAATAATACCTTTGGAGATGTGGTTGTGGTAGAGGCGGATTTCGATTGGTCGGTAAGTAATTGGGCGGGCTTGGCATATTTACTGTTATGGGAAAGCTTTGGGGCGAGTGATATGCTATGAACATCTTTATCTAGCGGTATTCTGGTTCCGGGCTAGATACCTTAAATAACGAGGATCTGTCAAAGCCACCAAAACAAATTGCGTTCAATCCCTTACATCGAGGCCATCTAGCAAAGGAAAGAAAATTTACCAAAGCATGCAGGAGATGAAGGTTGTCATGAGACCGATTGTCATTTTTCAATGTGAAATAAATCCAACTCTCTATGATCATCCTATTCGCTTTGGACTGTCATTAACGTTTTGCTAGAGTATAGGTATAGTTAGAAGGAAGTTGGACGAAAAGATATCATTGTGATTTCCTTACCTTTGGCCTTGATTTATTCGTGAAGTAATGGTGATATTAATTGCGGTTGTGATGGTGACTGTAATGGATGATAGTTTTTATCGTGATGGTGACGTTGTAGGCTCTTGCGTAGGCTCGTACCCAGCCCTCCTCAAACTGCATGGCCGCATCACCCCGATTTTTGCTACTGTATGTACTAGTATATTTCAATATGAACCGCGCTAGTCATTTTGTAGTGTAAATTAAACCACCCGGTGGTTTAACTAAACCACAACCCTTTTTGTACCACAGGGGAGATGGAGACCCAAAATTACGAGTGAGCTGCTAAGATAATCAAGTTGGCAATAAATTTTGAAAAATAAATACCCAAAAAGTAATGCTGTGACCCTACGCCCCTCACGGGCTACAGGCCCCAATTCGCGATATTGGACTCTAGCTCTGCTCCCCGTTACATGCCGTACACCCCACTTTTCTAGGGCATTACTCCCACCCCCGGGGTTGAGCCCATGACCCCCGGACGCGGGCCATGGCGGCTTAACGCACGCGGTGTAGCAAGACGAGGCGTCTACCACTAGATACCTCGCCCACACAACTGTCAAAGGCCGGGAAGTAATACTTAAGGGAGTAAGGGCAGAGCGAGCTAGGGGAACACCGAACCCTGCAATCACAATCTACCACAAACCTACTGGCACCCTCTTGTAATATAATGTATATAGACAGCAAGGGAACTACCTGGCCGGTATTGACGGAAAGACAAGTACGTAGCGCTATAGCAAGAATTAAAGCATGAAAAATCAAGATTAATACCTCCAAGGGAACACAACACGTGCACGTTTCCTTCAGCTAGGAGCTATTTGCACACAAATCACGTTACTTAATTCTAATTGCCTCAGTAAATTCCAGGTATTTGTGTACGAGGGACTGGTGTCAGACTAAAATCTGTTTAATCCATTCTTATAAGCACGTCGTAAATCGTAAATCGCAAATCGCAAATCTGTCTAACATATCTCAGTCTCAAACTCACGCAACCTCATCTAGCTAGTCTACCATATCTCGGTCATAAGCACACGCATTCTCATCTAGAATATCTCAGTCCCAAACTCAAACAGAATCCGCCTCAATCAACTCGCGCAACACAACCAGTCCATAAGCCACATATAAATCCCAAGTACTCGAAAGCATCTCTCCATCCACCACCGGTACTAATCGTTCTCTGCTCCTCAAGAACGGCTCCACCGTTACTCTCTCACCATATTGCTCAATATTCACCACAAACACCCGATGGAATTGAAATTCTGGTTTCAGTGCCACTAGATGCCACCCCTCAACTCGGAAGCCGAAGTCTCCATGTCTTGTCTCAACAGGAAGACTACTGTCGGGCACCAAGTACCCCTCATGTAATACTTCTGCGCGACACATATGACACGGGAATGATAGCCGGAGAGTGGTAGAAGGGTTCATACCTTGCGAGCTATCGCTGGAGACTATACTCCACCAATAGCTGTCGTTGCAATCGCCACAGAGGGCGTGCGTACATTCGCGAAATTGGATGCTGATGGGCTTATCGCGGCAAATGCCGCATCTAACATCCTCATCTACCTCCTTCTCCCCTGGCGTTAGTTGTTCTGCTGCAGTTACTTCTTCTTCTTGCACAGGCCGAACCCTCCGCCACTCCCCTCCGTCGTTCTCGGCAGTCCCTGAGATCTGTGGCACCACGCCCGTATCACTACTATCCAAGCGATTGAAAATTTGTAGATATGCAGCGAGGGATGCGAGAGGAGGAATTTCTTCCGGAACGAAGCCAAAAGGCCTACGAGGAAACCGGTCCGGAATTCTGGGGTCATCGATAGAGAACCAACCCTCGGGGATAGTGCCGGGCGGCGCAGCAGGGCTGCAAGAGATGAAGAATTGGTGCGCCCAGGTGTCCCAGAGGAAGGCGAACCTGCGGATACTGCGGTTAGTTCTAGTAGTCATACTTGATATGAGCTGAATTTAATTTGGGTTAACAGGGTTTGAAATTGAGGATGGGTGTGGGAATGTTTAGTACTGAGTGTAGATATGAATGATAATTTCCAATTGCAGAGAGGAATTAGTGCTTATATATATAGCTATGGTATCTAAACATTCAGTGTTGAGTGCATGGAATTTTCAAGGACGAAGAGAATCTTCTGTTGAATTGAAGCCTACCAATCAAGGAGGGTCCAAATCGACTAAATATATTTCAAGATCCTCTGGGGAAAACGTTTGTATAGTAGTAGAACTACTTGAACGGGCTGAATCAAGTATCGCAATTCATGCGGATGAAATTAGGGAGCGGGTTCGGGGATATTTGGTCGTTTCGCCGACTGTTGGATCATGTCGATTTGATCATTGACGTGCGGTGATACAGTACGATGCCAGTCGTGAGGGTCAGGCGCAACCAGATTTCCACAACCTTTTCATGGCGGGTTGGTACACAAGATATTAAATGTCAAATTATTGTTATTTATCTACTATTTAACAACTATACAAAAATTCAGCTCTCCAAAGGATCAATTGTGGTTGCTGTGCTGGTACCCGTGATGGTTCGGGGGGCGTTGCGACGCCGCGCCTGACCCTCACGACTGGCATCGTACTGTACAAATGTGCGGACGGAAACTAAATACCAGATGTAGCCTTTCGATCTTGCCTCGCAGTAACTTTACAACTTAATCCCCAACAATCGCTTGGATAACACCGAAAGATTGATAGATCTCTGGACCATCAATTATGTATTTATTACTAATTGCACGCGAAACCAGCCTTAATAATGCATTTGAAATATCGCAAACAGCTATGTGTTTGTGTTGGGTATCTCTAATATAGAAATTTCAGGCACTAATTGGTAGAACAACTGTTTTTTTTTTTTGGTGCGGAAGTATCCTGCGTAGTCTTTTGTACTCCTGGACCTACAATGTTGTTGGTTTAATATTGATATAACTGTGCACCCCGCACGTGCTCTACCGATACTTTTCTGTATTTGAAGCATGAGGCAGGATGCAGGAGAGTTAAAAGAAGTGAAGGGATAGAGGCTCTCCACCTACTCTCATCTCATGTGCGGTGGGGTTTAGTGTCTATGGTTCGACCAAGATTGACTGTCTTTAAGTGGTTACTTTAATATCTAAGTCCGCTGCCCTAGCCTTGAAATCTTTCTTGGTGGTTATAGGCCCTGGTGTCTGGACGTCACTATGTCTCAGCTAATTATGGGGCATCAATTGAAATGTCGGAACACGGGGTATTGGAAGTCGCCTAGTCTCCTGGAAACAATGAACATGGTCTTATACGCAGGTGCTTCCTAGTATAACGCTATCTATGCATCAGGGCCTGAAACTATAAAAAATATATTTCACACCCAAAAAAGCATGACCCAAAAAACGGAAAAGAAAAAAAAAGGCTCTTATCCAAAGCGCCTACAAAACTCATAGAGCACGACGGCAGCCGCCGTCTGAACATTCATGCTTCTGGTTTCGCCCTTCTGCGGGATTTCGACACACAGATCCAGCTCCGCCAATAGCTCTGCCGGAATACCATACTTCTCGCTACCGAGAAGAAGGACTACTTTCTTCGGGAGGCGGTTGTTTTCATCCCCAATGATGACGCTGCGGTCGGTTTGTTCGATCCCAACAGCGGAATATCCAGCGAGCTTCTTGCTGCGGATGTAGTCTGGGATGTCTGCTACTTTGAGCTCTTCGATGGGAAGCCACGCTTCCGAGCTAACAGAGACAGAGGTGAAGTCTTTGAGCTTCAGGGAGTCTTTGCTGTTGAAGCAGAGGGCAGTCACACCCATAATTTCGGAGATGCGGGAGAGGCCGCCGAGGTTGTAGGCGTTTTCGATGAGAGATGCGATGACAATAATGTCGGGTCCCTGATCTCTGTGAGAGCTGACTTTGCTCCGCCGGTGTTCGTTTGCTTCGACGAGAGCCTTTGCATCCCAGCTTCCGCTCTTTGTTTGTAGTGGAGCCTCAACAAGAGCTTCCATCTCGGTCTTCGTGAATTCAACCACGCCAGTGCTGCTCTCCAACTGTTTGGCAGTACCAGTGGGAATGAAAGATGTTCTTGAATTCTGGTTTTTTAGAGAAACAAACAGTTCGAGCGGGATTATGTCGGCTTCATCACCGCCGAGAAGATAGCTTCCTGAGAAGATACCGGCAAAGGTGTAGTTTGACTTTGCGTTAAATGTCTTTTCGCTTTCGAGTTTCCCGGCCGCAACAATCTGTTTGAAAAAGTCTGAGTTTAGTATGGACTGCCTGAGACGTTGGAAAACAACATTATCTCTCAAGTGTTGCCTGCTCCAGTTAGCTTTGAAAACAAGACCCTTCGAGGATGACCACTTGCCACTGCGCCAAATCATCCCATAACTCAAGCACCATTGAAGTGGCCTGATGGCGGACTGCAACTTTGTTGTTATTACTGAGCGGAATTACAGTATATAGTAACTTTGAAAAGTTAGTATTGTTAAAGATGTTAGGCTTGTAAAATGGTATCAAACCTCGGTGTAAAATTCCTCTTTAAGATTTTCCTCAAGCTCACGAGCTACCATGATGGCGACCCGTAATAACGACGCCTGCAACCTTGGGTTTGGATTTACTGGGGCTTGAAGATATCTATGGATGTGTAAGAAAGAACCCGTCAAGATTTGGCTTTTACTTTGCTAGCATGTGTACCCCCATAGGCAGTCCCGATTTTCTGGGAAGCGTATAATGCATAACGCGACAATCCACTATATTTCCAACTATTAATTCGTGTCTGCTGGTTTATTACTACCTTATGATGACTTACCTCAAGGATAAATCGATATCTTGGATGCGGCTCGTTGCACAAAGTCGAAATAGCTGTATTTAAGAACGAAGCACTCTCCTCGGCTGTCACAAAGCGCTCCAGCACCAGCAGAACTTGGAGTTGCGAGGCCTAAAATCTGTTAGCCGGGATTGATGCTGTTTTTTCCCCTTCGTTTTTCAACTTGCCTTCTTCCATTTACTATACACTGGCATTCCGGGTTTGTTCAGTGCCCATGGTGCATATATTTTATCCCGGAGGCAGTTTGCAAACGTTGATGCGGAAAAACTGTTTGGATCAAGCCTCGATAGAATGTCAAATATATAGACTTGAGCCATCTCCTCTCTTTCTTCGTAGTACTGTTTGTAATGGTTTCTATTTTTAGGTTAATTATTATGGGTGCAGTAGGAGATTAGTTAGACACTCACAGCTGAGAGGAAATCTCATCGAAAATCCTTGCTACAGAATTCTCCACAAAGAAGTCTGGGTCTTTACTGGGAGTGTAGTTGATGAATTCGATAAAAATGTCTACCACCCACTTGCAGGCACAGAAGACGTCCGGCGCGCTCAGATAGGCCTCACGGAGCTTGCCTGCATAAACAGGGGCGAGGGATCGTTTGCCTTTAGAGAGCTTCATGATCTCGTTTCCAATCTGTATATAGTGAGTTAGGATCAATATAATCACTTTAACTGGGCTCGAATATACTTCAGGTAGTGTTTCTGCTAAAGCTTTGTTTGTCTCGAAACTTGCTCGGATCACAGAGACATCGAAGATGGTTCTGATCAAGCTGATCTCAAGAGGTGATTCAACCGCAACCGCGCTTGTCACGTCTGCGCAATCCCATAGCTCGCGCACTAGAAGGTCTAGTCTGGGATAACGTTTTGTAGAGGTAGGGGCGTTGCGGAAGACCGTTCGAAAGCACTCGAGGATTCGGAGGAGGGATTCTTTGTCAATGTAACGAAGCATCTTTCGTGTTGTGTCGAAAAGGATTGTGACATATTCGTCGTTCAGCTAGGGATTCCATAGCTGTTGTCAGTACTAGGGTTCAAGGGGGAATTATCGTTTGTGTGGGTACCTCTTCTTCAGTTGACTGAGAAATCAAAGAGTTTAACAAGCTATATCCGCTATAAAGGAATTTACCGACAACTCTCAATTTAACCATGCTGCAATACATATTTTGGTTCTGTTTAGCATCATAAACTATCACTCGCAAGTACTTAGCATCAAGAGGGGTAGCAGGATTACTTTTCATGTTTATTCTGGTCCAATATGGGCAAAGGAAAAATTTTGATAAGTTCCAAGACCTCGGCCTTTCCAGGAAAACCTACCCTGTGGCCCTTTTCTATCAAAGCTGATACAGCAGCATCGCCAACTGCCAAAAGCTCACCGCTGAGTTTTTCGACCTCTATATCGAATTCAGCATTCTGTTTTGGGTTGCCTGGAATCTTTACCCAGCCTTGTTTATGTATTAGATCCCACGAGCTCTTGAGAATCGGCATAAGCGCTGTGTTCGATAGTTGGTTCAGGAAATGGTGGGTGCGTTGATGGTAGAACAACGCGGCAAGTTCCGCCGCGTATTTGCTTCTAGAAACATTTCCTGGGAGGTCATTCCCAATGTTTTTAAGCGCTTCTAGTAATATTTTACGTGCTTCTGAATCTTGAAGTATTTCTGGACAAATATATATGTTAGAAACCTTTTTAAATAATGGTTGTTTGTTTCTCACCCTCAACGAGTAATTTGCAACTGAATAGAAGTGAGAGAAATCTAAATCTGTTTTTGTCAACAGATATAGAATCAAGAACTTTGCTCAAACCTTGACCCCTGTCGTCGAAAAGAGTAATAAGGAATATGGCTCTGAAGAGGTTTTTGGTTGGAATATCCTCTGTATTATAGGTCTCGAATGAGCTTGATAGATCTGCAAGCACAGAAGACAGTTCTCTGCCGATATCATTATTGTCTGCAAACAATTCGCGTAATGATCGAGAAAAATTCGCGGTGATTAAGTATTCCTTTCCAGCAAATATTTCAGCCATAGAGCTATAAAGGCATCATTAATGACCTGTATAAAAGGTAAGCTAGCCGTATGAGAGCATACTCAAAGAACGGTTCGATCATTTTTCGATGTAGTTTGATTGACAGAAGGATTCTAAAGCATATTGAAATGCATAAATCCGTTTTTAACAGTGCGCTACTCACATAGAGGTTAGCCTGATATATCCAAATCATCCCTTAGCTAAAAGTGAACTCACAATCGCTTCATTTTAGAAATGCTAACAAGCACAGCCATCTCTTCTACTCCAAGACCATGACCAAAGATCTCTAGTACGCCGTCCATAATACCTTTCATTACATATACTCTCGCTGGCGCAAAAATGGTATCCTGCCTATTATCGACAAAATCTAATAGCGCAGCCGGATCTCGACTCTGAATAACGACTTTCTTCAGGAAACCTGCAAGTTTATCACCGTATTCACAACGGTTATCGTTTCCCTTTTGGGTGGAGAAATGATGGGCTGCGATTGAGTAGGGAAGAAAGATATCTGTTTCAAATGGTTTAGTGATCATATATAGTTTAGGATAGAAGAGGTGTTAGTCTTGACAACGAACCGTTGATAAAGTTCTTCCCCCTTTCATCTTCAAGCAGCTTCCCCAGCTCTTTACCTTCAAGGCTCAGCAAGAACTCCCATACAGCCTTCTGCAATGGCCCGCACGAAGATGTCAGCCCAAGTGTCATCAAAATCACTATCCAACTTCCATATATTGGCGAAAATGGCTTCAAAAGACGACGAAGATCGGGGACTGTTGCAAGAAACTGGTTTGTCGACGTGGAAAGCGAAATGATCTCTATCATTGTAGAATATTTTGACCAGGCTGCGGAGTCCTTTACTGATGATGGGTCATATTTGATAAGTTTGTTGTCAACCGGCTCCGAAAGCAGCCGGAGAGAGGAGTTCAGAATGTAGAGACAGAACTTTCGGCGTTCGCTAAACCCGGTGGTAAGACCGTTCTGCGGAAAGTTTAGTGGTTTGAGCATTTGAAAGAAGAATTGTGGACTAACCTGTATTAATATCCAATAGTTTTCTTGCTGTAACATCTCCTCCGAAGGACGAGAGCTGGGACCAGTTAATGATACCCAACGAAGCCAGATGCTAAATGTTAAATCCGCATGTATGGGTGATTCAAGAAGAATCTTAATACCATCCCAAACCATCTATAGATAAACCTTACATATTAGAATATTTGGTCTCAAGGGTTAGGGTTTCCGGCGAAGTATCTCACTTCCGAAGTACCACTGTGAAGGACAGAATCGGAATTTCCAAGAAAAAGGCGGAAGATATGGCAAGATAATTCGGCGATTTTTAAGTTTCTCAAAGCGATCAAAGAGAAGATGAGGTGTATTAATACTGACTTATCAGCAATATGAGTCCTGGCAAATTCTGCTTCCTTTGTATCGGAAAGAAGAATGATCTTAAGGAAGCAAAGGTGCTGAATCACGACGGGATAAAGAGTTTGGAAAAATTCTGGACTTTCGGACTTCTGGTTTTTTTCGAGTCTAAAGGAACAATATTTATCCAGGAAAGGTTCCACATTAATCTCGAACGCATCGTCGCTGGCAGCGTGTGATTTCGAGGCGGCAAATATGAGCGTAGAAATTATCGATTCGGTCTCCCCAAGCAATCTGTCTAATATAGCTGGAACTGATAAAGCTATTTGACTGCCAAGTTGAAGTTTTTTATGTATCATTTCCTCGCGATCATCGGTGGTAGAAAGAACCAAGCTTTTCACAAAATCGCTAAGGACATTCTCCGAGTATTTCTAAACATACAAATGGCATCAATGAATCAGCGAAACTCTTCCCCCTGAGATACTGGCTTATAGCCGGGTGTGGTTTGTCTAAATATGCACATCTTGGGATTCAAATAACATTGACGCCAACATTTCAGCCAGAACGGCCTTTTCTTTTCCATCTTGTGAGGTAGATAGCTGTCGAGCAATATGACTAGTGAGAGATCGTTCCTCCTTTGATTCGGCTAACGAGGTCAAAATTCTCGCAAGAGAACGATGCTCGATGATCGTATCCATGTTGATTGGTGTTCTTTTATGTGATGGCGGGGTAAATCAAGGTGGGGTGTGATATATGCAGCCGGGTAACTCTTGATACAGTAGGGGCCTGCGCTATCCCTAGAAAGGAGAAACCAAAATATTGACATTCCAGGAACCGCACAGCAACCGCCATAAACAGCTTGCACTGCGACTTGTAAACAGCTTCACCATCCCAAGTCTCTGTAGCATCTCCAACACGTTCAGATAAGATATGTCGATGTCGAGCAACAACATAGTATCCCCACCTGGGACACCAGTAAGACCTCCAATGATGACCATAGAGAACCGCTCATTTCTCGATGTCGCTTCTCATCTTCATCATCCATTGAGGACTCATGCGTCAAGTGCATCATTGCGCTCGCGGGAACCAACTCCACAAAGAAATTCTGGAGAAGCAAACCGGGGTGGAAATGTTCGAGTTGTGGTCCGAGTTCGCGGCTTTCTCCCTAGAGGTTTGTGCATACCATGTAGCTCCTTGACTGAATTTGGAGTTAAGCTGAGATGTCCGGGAATTATCAGAAATCGAGCGTGGAGCAACAAATCTCATAGAAATGGACCCAAGAAATCAGACTACTATTCTTCATCCTCCTCCAGAATCTGTTTCAAAAACGAACAGCCGGAAAATCGTGGAGAAAAAAGAATTCACATTTGATAATTCTTTCTGGAGTTTTGATCGCCGCGATGATCATTACGCAGATCAAGAAGATGTTTACAATGCGCTCGGAGAAGAATTTTTGGATCACAACTTTGAGGGCTATCATACATGTATCTTTGCATATGTAAGACGGCACATACCGGTGTCGGTAGAGCTTAATGTGTTGACGATATCAATTAGGGCCAAACAGGCGCTGGGAAGAGTTATTCAATGGTTCGCTACCCAGACTTATATTCCCTGGATAAAATGTTGGCTAACTGGTGAAGATGGGTACCCCCGAACATCCCGGACTTATCCCACGCACATGTCGCGACCTTTTCGAGAGAATTGAATCGAACAATTCGCCCAGTGTAAACTATTCAGTTCGTGTTTCGTACTTTGAAGTCTACAACGAACACGTTTGTGATCTCTTAGTACCTCGCCGAGAAACACCGTATTACCTAAAGGTTCGAGAATCGCCAACTGAAGGCCCTTACATTAAAGATCTCACTGAGGTCCCAGTCAGGAATATTGGTGAGATATTGAAATGGATGAAAATGGGAGATAATAATAGAACTATTGCGTCCACAAAAATGAACGATACTAGTAGTAGGAGTCATGCAGTGTTCACTCTAGTGTTGAAGCAGATACACCATGACATGGATACAGACGAAACGACTGAACGAGTCGCAAGAATTCGGTATGCTTCATTCTTGTAATTGCATGGAATAAGTTTCTAACTTTTATTGATAGGCTTGTGGACTTGGCCGGTTCAGAGAGAGCGAACTCCACTGGCGCTACAGGGGTTCGTTTAAGAGAAGGGTCGAATATCAACAAATCTCTTACAACACTCGGAAGGGTAATAGCGGCATTAGCAGACGACGTCCCGACAAAGGCTGGCAGAAAAAAGAGAGAAGTGGTTCCATACCGCGACTCCGTAAGCAGCCGAATTCCGGTTACGAACGAGCAGAGTAGTACTGATGGAGACTTCCAGATCTTGACCTGGCTCCTGAAAGACTCCCTTGGTGGTAACTCCAAAACCGCTATGATAGCGTGTATTTCCCCTTCCGATTACGAAGAAACCCTCTCTACCCTACGCTATGCGGATCAAGCCAAACGTATCCGCACACGTGCTATCATTAACCAGGACCATGTCTCTGCTGCGGAACGTGATGCCCAAATTGCGGAGATGCAGGAAACTATCCGCAACCTACAAATCTCTGTATCTCAAGTCGCCCAAACGAAAAAAGAAAACGATCGGCAGAACGAACAGCTTGAGATGTACCAAAACGAGGTAGAGAAGATGCAGAGAAAGATGGAGGAGGCGAGACAGGTTGCAGAATGCAAGATAAAGGCCTTGCAAACTCAGAACGAGGCATTGAGGCTGCATCTAAGACTTGCTATCGAAAGCTTGAAGAATCCTATACCGGCTGTACTCCCGCCGTCCCGAAGAACCAGTATCGGCGAAGGAGGAGAGGAACAACTCGATGACGAAGAGGAATACGACGAAAGTGAAGAAGAATCCGAAGAGGAAGAGGACGAAGAGAGAGACGAGATGGAGTCGAGGCTTGCAGATCTTCTACAGGACCTCGGGGTATTCCGACGAAAGGTATCCGATGATAAAGGCCGGTTTTTAGAAAAGGCGTATATCCAGGAAATACCAGCCGACGCGTGAGGTTGCTTGCAGATCTCGAGATTAAATAAGGCAGGCTTAGTGGTTTTATTAATAGCGTGGAGTTATCGGGTTATTTTTATTTGCGGGGAATTAGCTTTAGTGGTGTAATTGAGACTCCATTACTATATGCATCAAGCATGGAGGAGCTTTGTATATTTTTAATAGCTAGATGTCGTTTGTTGGTATTTTTACGGCGAAACCGGGCTCACTATAGCTAGGGTTGTTGGGTACAGTTGTATCATGAGCAGTCTATCGATTACAATATTCATAAAACATGGGTTTACTATTAAACAATCATAGAATCAGCACTTAAGGTGTTGTGCAAATTATCAGCTCGAATGGGTTGCAATTGGGGACGTGAATAGAAATCAAATGTAGCCCGAGCGCCTCCAAAATTGTATCCCGTGTGAGTAAGCCGATCGCGAGGCCAATATTTTGAGCGAAGTTTCGATACGGCTTGGCATTGGGTTTTGTGCATCTCAATCATTTCCTCTATATATACATGTATGTACTGCGGAGATTTCCTGAGCTACTAGAGTAGTACAATAATCTAAATCAGAACTTTCTTTTAATACATGAGAAGTACATACCACGAATTATTGGTACTGTTTTTATAATCCAATGACATGAAAGACAGGCTTAATTATGGATCGATATCATGAAGAACCATACATGTATGTATAGTCACAGGACAGAAGTTTTGGCAATATACCCTTTTTACAGCCAAAGTACATGTAGCCATGTTTAGCTACCCGAAGCAACCGCCCAACCTCATCCAAAAAATTTGAAAGTTTCAAGGACAGTTGGGAATTATCCCAAGACGGAGCACAGAGAATTCTAGAATTTTAAGTCCATTCTTCAGGTGTGTGCGATTAATATTTAAAGTCTCTGATTTTGTATGGTGTTTCCATTACAAATTTTGTGTTGCAACGGCGACCAAATGTTACCCTTCTAAACACCAGAAAACGGATAAATTACATACCATACCTACATATACTCCTCGATAAGATGAATATCGTAATAGAGAGTTTAAGCCACCCGACTTTTTGGCAAACAAAAAAGATCGTCAGACAAAAAATATCAGCGGTCTAGGGTCAAAAGAGCAAAACTAACGCAGGATTGGTAATCTCTTGCCAGAAATATCTGGTGGCTTAAACTCTCTAATGCAAGTGACTTTGATAAAAAGGCTGCGAGAGCATTATAGCCCATGGGATAAAGAGACTGCCATGGTTGCCGAACCTGTAAGAAATAGAAAGACCATTGAGAATCCAATTGAAATCTAATAAGTATATAGATATACCGATATGCAATGTGTTATTTAAAGGTTTTGATTGGCCAGGTATTAGATTGCTTTTTCTTGGTAGTTTGAGTAGTAATATTTTGATAATATTATTTTTTCTTGATATAAGCAACAAATCGGGGACCTTACTTTTTCCTTCTATTGAATTCGGATATGGACATTGCTTTTTCCCTCTATTGCTGTTAGTGGTGATTCGGGGGCAGGAAAATTGCTTTTTCCCTCTATTGCTGTTAGTGGCGATTCGGAGGCAGGAACATTGCTTTTCACTCTATTGCTGTTAGTGGCGATTCGGGGGTAGGAACATTGCTTTTTCCCTCTATTGCTGTTAGTTCCGAATTGGGGAGTTTACTGTCTCCTTCTATTGAATCCAGGCAGGGACATTGCTTTTTCCCACTATTGCTGTTAGTGCCGAATTAGGGAGTTTACTGTCTCCTTCTATTGAATTCGGGTAGGGACATTGCTTTTTCACTCTATTGCTGTTAGTGGCGATTCGGAGGCAGGAACATTGCTTTTCCCTCTATTGCTGTTAGTGGCGATTCGGGGGTAGGAACATTGCTTTTTCCCTCTATTGCTGTTAGTGCCGAATCGGGGAGTTTACTGTCTCCTTCTATTGAATCCGGGCAGGGACATTGCTTTTTCCCTCTAATGAGGTCATTGCTCATTATGTTATTGCTAATGATGTTATTGCCAATACGGAAATCTTACGTTGTCTTTCTATTGTTGTTAGGGTTAGTCAGAGTTTTGATTGTTAGAGTTATAGTTTAAAGTTACTCTCGATCGCACATTATTTTTTAGTTAAACAATCAATTTCCAAACTCTCTGCCTACAATATCTTTTGATACAATGCCTCAAATATTCAACGAGAATGCTTCTACCGAAATTCACTGCATGCTTGAATTTACCAATAAGACAGACAAAACTGGCTATCTCAAAATCTACGATTCTACTTTATTTTGCTGGAGCGATGATTTACCATATTCAGTAATCGATGAGGAAGATATACCATGCCGAATCATTTGTTTTGTCAGCGATTCTCTTCCAGAATCCACCGAAAACTCTGTTGGAATATGTTCAGGCAGATTCTGCGATATGGGTAAAGACAAACCAGTTGTTATTACTTTACTGAATAAAAGCGAGTAAGTAATTTGATTTACTATGTATTAAATTAGAACTAATAAATTTAACTTAGATTTGCTGGTGACCTGACACATCCACGATTTGACGATATAGCCCCTGCACCCTCTTGTGCCACTATATACTCAGTCGGGAAGGTTGTAGGACAACCTAAGGGTACTATGAAGTCTCTCCCTATAGGCTGGAGATCCTTTGATTTACGATCCTCCTACTATGATTTAGAGGCTGCCTCCAAATCAGCTTCCCGAAAGTATTTTGTAATCAGGTGGTATATACCACCAGGAAAGAGGTGGGAGAGCACAAAATTACCCCAAGTCGATAGTGTAATTCAAATCAGTGGGAGATTAGTTGGTAGAGTAATCGTTGATAATTCATCACTGGCATCACATTCTTTTCTTGGTTGTATAGTGTCGTCGTTAAACTATATTTCAGTAATGCAATCTGGATCGGGAGGTGGGTCTCTTGGACAAACTTCAGGTAGATCTGAGTCCAAAAATGTTGGAAGATCTTGGGGTGCTCGGGCTCAGAAAAGATCTGTGATGGATGATTTAAGTTTGTATTTAAGTTCTCCCCCCCTCCAAAGATCACTGCTAGCTCATATTCTATTTCCAAACCTACTACACCAGCCAAAAAGAAAGCTTCGAGTGTATCTAATGACTGTTCTGTCGATGACGAGTTTGAGGAGATTGAGGATGAGATAATTGAGGATGTTGGTTCCGAGTAGTATTAGTTTGGTATTGGATATATAGTTTTCTGAGTCATCGTTAGCTATTTTATTTTTAGTCAGGAGAGTATATTATTATCAAGAATATATATAATT